GTTTATGCGATTACCGATTTACCGAGTTTTACCGATACTGATTATATTAAGAATTGTTTAACTAACTATGAAAACTCCCACTGAGTAGATTTTTATATTTAGTCTCGTAGCAAAACTTTCAAAGAAAAATATTAGTTGAAAAAAAATTCTTTTTTGATGAATCTGGAAAATTAAAGGTTAAAAAAAAAGTTGGTGCTGTTAATTTGTGAAAATAGAATGACTTTAACTGGGCCATCAAAGCTGTTCTATTGTAACTCATTTCAATCAGTTAAAAATTGAAATTTTTGAGAAATTTTCTTTGTTTACAGAAAACGTGAAATAAATAAATAAATGTAAAAAAAAATTATATCACAAATCAAAAGCATAAAGGCATTTTTGTCTTCGAAGTTTTGATGTAGTCTTGAATGCATGTTTTAACATATGCTTCATTCAATTTTAATAATCCATGAAATTTTTAGTATAAAGATATTTTCATGTCAAGAACTTTATAATTGAAACTATTTAGTTAATAGAATTCTACACAACGTAAATACCATACACCATTTTGCACAATGTCAATAATGTGCATCATTAAAAAGAAAACAAACAAAAGGAATAATTTCGATTTATATATTTATTTTTTTTTAAAATAATTTTTAGAATGGATGAATACAAATTGAAAAGCTGATGAAGACGACTTTATGAGTTCATGCTTAAACATATCTTCTCAAGTGTGTGTTGAGAATTGGAGATGGTCATTAAATGCAACGACTATATATCTTGACGACTTCATTCTTGAACGTGTTCCAAAAATAAAATGTATGAAGATATATCAGGCAAAATATTCTCGTCACAGAATTTTTTTTTCTTTTTATACGTAAATAATATAAATAATAATAGTGCATTTTATCAATTTTGTATAGTTATTAATATTATGAAATTTTGTGAATTCATTTAAGTTATTCATAATAGTTATGATAAGTTCATAATAGTTATGATGAAATGAAATAATAATGAAATAAATTTTGTGAATTCATTCATTTTAAAAGAATTCTGAACTGTGTCAGATTACAAAAGGTTATTTTCGTGTTAGGAGTACTAGTTACCTCACAATACAAAAAGTCTAGGAGTCCTAGTGCAGTTTAGTCCAGCCCGCTTTAATGTAATAGAAACACATCATTTTCTTTTCCTGGTAAATGGCTTTGCATAAATGAAAACGATAATGAAATTAACCTATTTTAAAAAATCGTTAGCAGAAGGGTGGGCCAAATAAACCTCAGTTTTTTATCTTCAAAATGCGGAAAAGATGCCCTCGTGTTGCAGTACGAAAATTGAAATTAATAAAAACCGAAATTAATAAAAACCGCTTGAAATTAATAAAAACTGAAAAAAAAAACATTATTTTTTTATTAGATTTTGTAACACTACTTGAAATGGCACAATCGACACGCCGCAGTTTTTGTTTAATTTACGGTTTCTAAAAGAGAAATTTATTGAAAAAATTATCATTAATTCAACAATGCAAGTCCACTAGTTTAAAAAAAGTTATTTATCTCAAAGTTTCTCTTCATTACAGCCACAACAGATATCCTCTGGATTTGGGGTTAAACATATGTTTTGCTTGACTTTTGGAAATGTCTTAAGTTCACTTTGATTTAAGGAAAAACTTGTTGATTTTAGTTTTTGAAAAAAAGTTTTTTTTAGTTTAACTTGATTTTTGAATACCAGCTCGTATCATCTACAGATATTTCTTTTAAACATGAATCTTTTATATGGTAGAAACATTTGGATTCCTCTAAACTTTCTATGCTGCATCAACCCTGGTTTACGCCTGATGTTTCAATCAGTAGTAATATTTACTGAACACAGAGTAATATCGACAATAATAGTTTAATGAGTCACGACTTCCAGAGCAACTTCTTTAATGGAGGAGAGATATTAAACTGCGTGTTTCTGAACAGAAGGAAACCATCTTTACACATTTCCGGGCATCCTTATGATGCGCTCCTAAATGTTTGTCGCAACAATTATGTAACCCACTGTTATTTTTTATAACGTTACTTTTATAACGTTTAAACTAGTACGTTTCGAAAGAAAAAAGACTAGAAATAAACGTAACTTTAAGAGCAAAACTGATTTCCATCACTCAAATAAGAAAGTTATTTATATAAACATTTGTTCTCCAGTGAAATTCGCGTTTTTCAACTTCTCGAAGTGGTCATTGAATTAATAAAAGTATCATAACACTTTTCCCAAGACATAAATTAAGCATGAGAGCGTGTTGATTTTGCATTAAAAAATTTTCAAGAATTAATTAAATTTTTTTGGGTTTTTTTTTATTGAATTTAAGAGCTATGCGTGATCGGAAGATATCAACCGATTTTGAAATCTTTAACGTATATATTTTTACATTTTTAAAAGGATATCTTTTTCGAGTTCTGGCATTCTGAAAATAAAAACTTTGATTTTTATCGGAATGCTAAATAATATTCCAAACATTCTCTGAGTAAAGAAGTGGTTACCTCTAAATGAAAGTCTATCTTTTCGAGTTTTTTTTTATAGGATCACACTTCGTCATTTTTGTCGAAAGCTCAATTGTATGAGCTATTCATTTATTCTCATGTGTACATTATTTATTCCAATGAAAAGGCATAACAATAGAACTCAAAGTTTTTATTTCAAACATTCCTTTATACACTGCTTTATTTTGTAATAAAAGTCTTAATTATATACTTTTAAACTTATCACACCGTTCAAAAATATTAAATCTGAAAATTTTCTCTAGCCTTTGAGTAACGAAATTTTTTAACAGGGAATTTTTCAACTGAAACAAGCAAATATTGTTAATTAGAGACTCCGCTGCATTTTCAAGATATCATTGCAAAAACTATTTTAACTTTTGGAAATGCGTAGAAATAATGTCAGGTTTTGAGACATCGAAATATTTTTGGTATAATATAAAATAAAACGTTTTGTGCTGTGTGCAAAGGTAATTTATTTGTAATGAAAAAAAAGGCAACTTCGATTCCAACATGAATTATGTCGGAACGGTTCATTATAACTGTCTATTGAAAAGTTATTCAAAGATTAAGTTCTTTCAAGAACCATCTCTAATAAACAGAAGAAATGCTCTAACGTAAGCGGACGCAGCTATTTACAACTTTTATAGACAATCGCCGCCACTCAACAACTCATTTATTCCAAATACTCTTTATGAATCAATCTCTTCGGATAGTTTTTTTCATACAGATATTTTTCTCTATACATATCTGAACTAAAGCTTTGCTTTTTAAAATAATACACTTTTTCTTATTCATTGAAGTCTGAATTTCAAAATTTCTTTTTTGAATCTTAAAATTTGAACTGCAAATTTCAGAAAAAAGTATGCCTGGGTATTTTGCTATTTCATTTAATTACCATGTCTTTTATTTACCATATCCTTTTCCAATGATAATATCATATGGTGTCGATATTTCTGAGTGCATATTATTTTCTTGATTTGCATTAAGTTTAAATATTCGATGGAAATTAAGATTTTTTTCTTAAACATTTAAAATTTTATACTATGATCGTATTGAAATGAACAGTTCCGTTCATATACACTTAATTTCTGCGTATATAATACAGCTATTAGTTTCCAAAATCTCTCCTGAAAATAGTGTGTGAATGTCATTTATTGTATCTCAAAGTAACCCCCACCTGCTTCTTTCACTGTAAAACTTTCAGAAACAGCAGTCTTTTGTTCAATTCCGATGTCGGGATTTTCTTTATGTCTTTAAGCATCTTTTATTCTTTTAGCATACTTCGTTAGGTTTCGGAAGCTATAAGAACTAACACCGTATTTCCAGAAATATCTCTTGCAGACTTCTTTTTTTTATTCCTGAAGCAGAAAAATTCTCTAAAGGAACAAATTTTAAGAATGTCGCAAGCATTAAGCAGTTCAGGAGAGCCGGATGGAGAATAAAGCGCTTTCCCATGCCCACGCACTTCGAGAGTTTACACACGCCGTAAACCCATTTAAAAATTGATATAAAATTATTATTGCAATAAAACACGCTGAAATTTTTAGTTCACTATCACTGATGGTACCGAATGTACTATAATAAAATATTCGCGACATTTAAAAAGTCGATTGCAAAACTAACCCAAAACATACAAAATACTATCCAGTAAATCCCTCCCGAACTTCAAATGATAAGTTTACATCTATAGTTTCCTCTATATTTCCCACTCCATCATAATATAAACAAAAAACAAAAACAAGAAAAAGAAAGCAAAAAAACAGAGCACGGTAATTCACATGTTTGCTACATTCGAAAGAGCAGAATATGCGTTTAATGTTTACATATTCATATACTACGGATCAAATTTAAAAACAAATAAATTAATTAACTAACTCGGAACTGAAGATTAGGCGGTGAGACAAGCGGTAAAAATTTTAGAATAAAATCATTTTTTAGTGTACTAGTGATAAAAGAGCTACTTTTTCCAAATGTAAAAAGTTCACCAAAAGCTACTCGCACATTATTTTACAATTTGTTGATAAAAAAAAATAAAATAAAAAAATAAACTCTTTTGGTGCAGCCTTAAAATTGGAAGAAAAATTAAAATACGCTCACAATAGATGACGCTCATATGGAGGAAATTATTAAAAATTACGAATAAAAAGTTTTGTTGTGATGATTAATTTAGGCCGTCATCATTTATATGAGATCCCGTCACAATTACGCATTCCGTAAGAGAATTTCAAAAAATGCTTCAAAATGCCGGAAAGTTTAATACGCAATATATGTAAGCTATTATACACATAATATTTTCAGGAATTACTAAACCATCCCCGGAAATGAATAGCTGCATTTTGTATACGGAAGGCTAAAAGCTCTCAAATTGATATTTCTCTGCATTGGGGGAAATTAAATTCATTCATAGAAATCTCCCGTTTTCAAAATTCAGACTTGAAACATAGCAAAATTGATATAAATTTCTTTCATGATTTATTATTTTTTCAAATGAATCACAAAGAATTTTCTTTTTCTTAATTTAAAAACATTTTCAAGAATTTAGGTATTCTGATTTTTTTTTTCGAATCATATACAATAAAGCGTGCCAGACACATCTTTTATCTGCTCCAAGGCGGGCACTTAGCGTAACATAATTTTTTTTTCATCAATTAATTTCAAGCTCATGTAATGGTCGTTCGCTGCCCTCCCCTTCACAGAGGTCAGCTAATAGAGTGAGGGTTTGAAAAGTGTTCGAGAACACTCTTTTGACCTTCGCTCAGAATGTTCCTCACAATGTCCAAGTGTTGTTGGATGTACTGAACGTCCGGGTGCACGGATAGTGTGTGAGCGAAACAACTTTCAGCCCTCTTAAAGTCCTGCCGCTCAAAGTGAACCACACACAAATTGTGTTGCGCTTTTTGATTGCTGCTATCTAACTTCAGCACTTTTCTGTAACACTGAAATGAATAAATAAATAGATAAAATGAACCCTTATGAATTTGTAATATTAATTATAAAAAAATTAATTATTAATCACAGAAAACGGTAATGACTCATATTGAATTAAAAATATATTACAATACACACATTGCAGGAATTATTAATTTAAAAACGAAAATTAAGGATATTGAAGTATCTTGCTCTCAGCAACATGTCTTAATATCTGAATCATGAAAACATGTGTTCTGTAATGATTGGCTTTAATATTTGTTTAAAACATGCGCTCGTTGAAACGCCTCCAGTTTGAATTGCATTTAAGAAAACCTAGGTATTAGGGGGACAGGAAAGTAATGTCATTTCGGAGCATTACATATTCGTTAGTTTTTAAACTCAATTCATTTTTTCGTTCCATTTCGATTCATTTTCGATACGGTATTGAAAGGTTGTTGCTAACGAGTGTAAATACATTATTGATTAAAAATAAAATTTTCCGGTCTCTCTAATATATCGAAGTGATTATTTTAATGTGACTTTATGTTCAGATGTTTGAGGTAAAAATTTGACGTTTTACGTTTCGTTCTAAACATGTTTATTCAAGTGCTTTTGGATACACACTATTTTTTGTCTTTCCGTCGTGAACGCAAACGAATAAATTTGAAGATCTCTCAACGCAAGCCGCCCAGAGCTGTTCATGAGAGGTTTTTCCATATTTAGTCTACATATTTGCATGTGCTTTGTTATCAACTCTTATATTTGAATGGTATATCAGTCGGTATCATAGGGATGCTTGGCAACAGAACAGCTTCCCCTTTTTGCTGTTAAGGCATTGGGGGTGCAATTGTTCTTGTTTTCCAAGAACTTCTGCCACGCCCATACGTTACACCCGTTTATAGGGCAGACCCGTTCATCCATCGTCCATTCATCCATCTATCCATTCATTCATCCGTCCCTTCATTCATGCAATTTCGACCTGAATCAGAGAACAATCGATCTCCAATTCTTTACTCCCAGAGGTATAATTTGTTATGGGAACATAGAGGACTTTGGGACCCGACAGATTTAATGTGCACCAGTCATCAATTACTACATGGGGATTCTTCGGCCGGCAGGTTTCGAACTCCCGTTCACACGAATGTGAGTTCAGCGCCCTACCAACCAAGCTACCCTGGCCCTGCTTCTCCTATAAATTTTCCCTTTAGAACTTTAACTTAGAGGATGTTAGTCATATTTTTAATGAAACTGGCTACCTTTTCAAATTTTTAGCGGATTGATTTTTTGGAGAAAAATGATAGATACCCCAATTTTCTATGTTAGTACGGCATGTGTGTCAGAGAATTCAGAAATTTTGTTGGACAGATGACAGTGTCGTTCTGATCTATTGCAGTATCGATGTTTTCGTAATTTCCATCTATCATCTCTTTCTTTTTAATATTGCATGCGGGCGTTTCAGTGATTTGCAAATGCAATTTAAGGGTTACATGTCTCCTTTGGGGGTTGCCATTTAAGGGTGTCATTTGGGGGTGTCATTTAAGGGTTGCATGTCTCGCAATTCTAGAGGATGCGATTGGCAGTGCAATTTTATGTTTGGATCGTATAATTGCCCGAAGGAGTGAAATGAGAAATATTTTACATGTGCCTCCAGGCACATGTTTGAAAAACAATCGAACACATCTGTTTGTAAAAGCAGTTATAACTCTGCCGTACTCTATGCTTTGTTCAGAAACCAATTTTGAAATATTGGAATAATCGAATGTACTCAAATCGTCGTCATCAAAGTGCGTTTGCTTTTGAAAATCATGATCGAAGAAGAGATTGTTTGCATATTGATTTGACATAGGGATTCTCAGTTGCAGCAGTTCTTTGTTAAACAATTGCTTAACTTCTTCTGCCTATTTAAATTAAATCCTTATCATATAGATCGGAGGGAACTGAACGTGTATAATTTTTTTATAACCATCTTTGAACAGCCGACCCAATTTTTCTGGATTAAGATTATTAATGTTCAATTCTGCAGCCTTGTCATTCTGAACCCAATCTAGAAGACAAGGGAACTCCTAGATCAAGTATTGAAAGAAATTTGCCTTCGTGAAGGACTTTTGGAACTAACCCGCATTTGCGTTACATGAAAACCTGCTACTGTTAGCCTAGTGGCAAGGGGTTTCAAACATATGATCCGTCTACCACTGAGGATATCTTGCGTCAGCACTGTGGTAGAAACAAGCCGGGTGCAGAATTCGTATCGACCAGCCATCGCTAGAATTCGAACCCGGTTCACTTCATTGGAAGGCTCTATCCCATGAGTCATCGCGGTTTTGATATGTTTCACGTAACGGATGTAGTATGTCTTAACTCATGTTATCTTTGAAGTTTTGACAAAAACATTTTGGATTGGATGGAAGACACATTCTTAGTATTATTGCAAATGACACGTTTATTTACTGTGGTTGAGCAGTATTACAGGCATCGAAATGTCTCAATGTGCATCGTTTTCTTGGTTTAATTTTTGGCAAGCTTCGAAATAAGTGGCATTTGACTTTATAGTTTACTGTTCTTAATTCTTGAAAGCGTGCCGGTACATGCACGTTGATTAACAATAATCGTAAGCTACAGCATTCCGCATTGTTAGGGTGATTAGTGTAGCGTCAACCTAGTGTGCAAAACGAATATATATTGGAATGTCCTTCCCCCTTGCTTGCGACTTCAAAAATGTTTTGCCGAAACATTCCATGTGTAGTATGTTGGCACCTCCCATATTATAAGGTTCCATCATTTCACATATCAAAGAGAAATTATAAAACAAAACAAAAAAAAATGCACCCATTTGTAATAGTCTTTCTTTTTTTCGGCTTTATCTGTAACCTAAATGATGCAAAAGCAAGTGCAGCATTATATACACGGATATGAATCGATTGAATTCTCTAAATTTTAAAAAATATACTTCCAAGGCGAATTTTTTTCATTTCTTGCCCAGAAGTGAACAGCATAAAGGAACAACAAATCATGCACATCTCGAATGCATTATTTCAATGATGCGTCTTTTATGACTGTCATCAACGCTTTCTTCTGCTCGTCTGTTATTTTTACTTAAAAAAGTATAAGAACACGAATAATATTTATTTTTCAATGAATAACAAATTATTATTATTATTGAACCCGCAACACTTTGTTTGATATGAATTATTCGCTTTCAAACTTTCAATTCTTACCCTACTTAAAGCTCAGTATGTAGCAGCTTTTCATTGTCCACGTGAGAAAAGAATATTTATTCAGAAATCTGTTAGCATGTAAGTTAACGCTTTCATGATTATGACAGTTCATACGCTTGATATTTAATTATTTTTCATTAGTACAAAAAAGAAATGAGGAAGAAAAATATATTTGTAGATTAGAGAAAGCAAACGAAATTCTTCGAAATTATTTGTAGGGATATTTTTACTTTTCGTTGTGTGGATTAATGATTTCAGAATACACTATTAAATGTGTTATAATTTTTTTTCAGAAAATAATTACAGTTAGGGTACCGGGGTTATTCCGACCTTTTTGCGAAAGGTTCGAGTTTTGTAAAAATGAGTACATTATGATTTTTGGAAAATAGGATCCTATTTTAATAATTTTATCAAAAACTACAAAAAATACCAGAAGTCTGTTCAAGCTTTTTGTAAAATACTCTGCTTTTGTGAATATGTAGAAAATTTATTCATAATTTTCGGAGTCTTAAAACTTGCATGGGCTATGTTTTTGAGAATATGGAAAAATAATTTCCCTCTTTCTGAAAAATAAGTCTTTGCATATTTGTAGTTTAAAAATTATAAACTGAATAAGTTATTCACTACGTTTTTTCAAAAAAAAATTTACGGTCCATTTTTAAGATGAAAAAAACTGTATGTAGGATCCGATTTTGAGATAAAATATTTTGTAAAGAGCTCATTTTTACGGAAAAAAAGATTGATTTTCCCCCTACCTTCTATTAAAATGATCACTGGGGTGCAAAAATTGTAAACTTTTTCTTTTACGTAAGTTATAAGATGTCACTTAGCTCACCTCTTCAGCGGCATCTAGATTTCTAAGATAATTTACATTTATATCAGCAAGTAAGAGAAGGCCATTGACGTGTCCAGGATAATGCTGCCAATGACAAAGAAAAGACAATTATTAGTACTATACATACTTGGGTGATCGTAAGAAATGAAAATTTGAATTTCTTTGAGGGCATCATCTAAAGTACTCTCTCTCTCTCTCTTTATAGTTATGAAAGCAGCACTTCTTAGGAAAAAAAATATATATACTGGCATTGGGGAAAAAAAGATTTGCAGAAACCATGGTAACGAGGGAAGGTTAAGAGGACGCTATCCCACGGGATGAACTTTTCATCGCAAATTCTCTTTAACTTTCATAACTAAATTTAAAAAGTCCAGTATAGAAAAAGTGAGTTCAGACAAACCTAGAGTGAGCCGTCAAGTTTCAATTACTGACAAGGAACTTTTGAAGTATCAAAATGAAAATAAACTTTGCTAATATAGATTTGGATTAAGCAATGGAGAAGTTCTCTTCCAATAATTTGATTACATCTTGATATTTCGGTATTTTTCTTTAGCAATTGATACTTCATGACTAGGACTGGGCTATAAATCGATGTATCAAGACATATCGATTTAACGCATATATCGGCAAGACGATACAGCGACTTTCATTCCAGGCGATGCATCAGAAATCTGATTTAAGCCGCCGAGCGAACGCAAAACGATATAGCGATATCGCAAGACACGCAAGGACATAAGACTCTTCTCTTACGTTCCGATGTCGACTCGCGCTGTGGAAGACGATGTTCGTTTTGTTATGTTGAAATGGTCTTGATTGGTGAGCTGTAGAATCAAAGTTTTGAGAACATTTATCGTAATCTCGCATGTTCGTTTTCGCACCTCTTAGTTTTATTTCTTTGTCGCAACTTGATATCGTTTTTTGTAGATTATTTTCAGTAGGACTAACTTCGTGATCGCCGATGTTACTTTGTTCTGAAGGCAATCTGTTATTGAAAAGAATATATAAAGAAGAGTTTCTTTATTAATTAGACAAGTTTTTTTTTAACAAAACTTTTTTTTATTTTTAAATGTGAAAATTATCGGAAATCTTATTTAAGATGCCCATAAAGAATTAAATTTGTTAGGTCATTTTTTTACTTTCTTTTAATTTATTAAGAACTTTTTGGCAAAAACTTCTAATAAATTTAATGGGTTTTTATTACTGATTTTAAATTTATAAATCTTGTTGCTTTTATTTTTAGAAATAAAGTTAAAACAAAACTTATTTTTTGTCATTTGGATTTGCACATAAGTCAATCAACTTTGTTCATTCAAAAAAACTTGAAAGGTTTGGGTATTTTATTCATTTTTTTTAAAATCATTTGGCACTTCGTTTTATTAGAGTGTAATAATTTTTTTTAAAAATATTCTTTTTAAATTATTTGTTAATTAGCTAAATATATTATCGAATATCACAATTCTTTTGTTTTTATTTTTAAGAAATTAAACCTTACTTTGTTTTTCGGTCATTATTCAATTTCATTTAATTATTTATCTGAAATAATAATAATAAAAAATAGGGTTTTAAAAGTGTTTTTTTTTTCTAAAATTTATTTCGCACTTCGTTTTAAACATGCAAATAATTTTTAACCAACTTATTTTTAAATTTTCCTTCTATACTGTTAGGTAAATATATTGATAAATTTCAATTTTATTTATTTTTTTATTATTTATTTTTAAATTAAGAAATCTTTCGTTTATTTTCGTGATCATTTTTAGAAAATGTAACAAAACTTACATTTACTTTTTCATTTAGAAATTGAACATTACGATCGAACTCAATAATTATGTAATTATTTTTGCATAATAAGTACAAGAAAATATTAATTTGTAAAAAACGCTTTAAAAAAAGTTTTTAACACTTTGTTTCAAGCGTATTATGAATTTCTAAACAAACATTTCAATAAATATTTTAAGTAAGATTTGTACATTGTAGTCAATTTATTTAATATCTTTCTTAAGCAAAACATATATATCTTCAAATTTATAAATTGATTTAAATCAATCTGAGTATGGAGCTTTGATAGAAATCTAACTTTCTGTGCCTTACAAGTAAATGAAATTCAAAAATACTATATCGCNTATCACTAAAATAAAACAGGTTATGTTTTCTTACAATAAAAGTTAAATAGAATTAATTCTTCAAAATAGCGTTTCAATAAAACATAGTATTAAAATGTTACGTTATTTTTTGTGATTGGTTCATTAATAAATTATTTTTATTTCTTCGCAAACACAATTCTTGTAAAAAAAATTAAAAAATTGAATCTGTTTTATCAAAAAACTAGATCGTTTTATAAAATATAAATTATAGCGCTTAATAAAATATGAATACAGTGTATTTGTAAAGTGATCCTGACAATAAAAGGGTGTTATTTTCTTTTTTATTTTCTCTACTAAAAGGAATTAATTAGTTATTTTTATTCATAATGGCTAGTGGAGGAGAAGAAGAAAATATCGAATTACACTGCTTAGGTTAATGTAATTTCGTTCTCCCACCACATTTACGCGTAATCCATCGCCAACTCCAGCTGCAATCGCCACGTTTGCAATCTACGGTATGTTTTGTCAATACGCGTCCCGATTATCTACGCCCCGATTTTCCGAGATCCCGCTTTTTAACCGAGCTATCAAATATTTCAAGGATTTTTTTTTTGTACCAGTTTATTTTCTATTTTTAAAACTATCGACGAAATAAATCTGAATTTTATCTTCCAAACACTCAGGAAAACGAAATCCAATTTGTATGCTTTTAAACGCTATATTGTAAACATAAAATTCAGTTTATATGCTTGAAGCAAAACTAAATTGCTTGAGCATCATTGACTGCGACCATTTAATTTGAACCCAAAAATGTTGAATGCTTTTATATTTTAAAATAAAAACACTTTGAAATAAATGAACAAAGTAATGAAATGAAACGAAATTTATATTATTTTATGTAATTTAAGAGAAATTAAAAAATGTTCGAAAAAGATTTTTTTTTCTTCTTTTGTAAAGGGATTTAATATTTTTTAAAGATATTCATTCCCTGAAATTTTTCTCCCATTCTATGCTAAAACCAAATATTTTGGCAGAGATTTCATTAAATCACCAAAAGTATATGTGTACGTACCTAAACGAAACAATAAATAAAATTCCTTAAAAAAGAGATATAAAAGATATAAAAGAAATTTATAAAAGAATTATATGAATTATGAAACTTATAAAGATAAAAAAGAACCAAAAATGACGATAGATTACTTATAGTTGCAATGCTTGATGCAAATGCACGATGAAAGAGGGATAATATTATAATATAAAGGAATTGCTCTCTCTCTCTGAAGTTTATGAAGCAATTTTAGGCTTAATTGGATCTAACATCGCTCATTCTAGTAATCGGAGGACGACAGGAGGTATCTAGGCTGACAAAAAAATTTTTTTTTGTCTTTAGAGAGTTCAAGTAATTAAGAATCACGTGGTCATATTTATATTTTCTTCTCTTTTTATTTTTATAAAACTGAAATTATTTTTTCATCCTGTCTTTCATTCATTAGATAGGAGTACCTGAAGGAGTTTGTGAAGAAAGATGATGGCTTCGGATTCCCTCTCACTCTCGGACAGAAGCAGAGCCAGATTGAAGAGACCCTCTTTCGAAACGGAATCCTTCTGTTGAAAGATTAAAATAATGAAAAGTTTTTTTTAAATTATTTCTTTTTCAAAAAAAGAAAAAAAACAATTGAAAATGAAATGAAGTACCTCAAGAGCTTTCCTGAACCATTTCTCAGCACTTTGGAAATTTCTATTTTCTACGGCCACCAATCCTAAATTGATGTAGACTCGCTCCGTCTCTTTACCCCTGTCAACGATTCTCTCCAGTCTAGAAGAAGAAGGTAAATAGCTAGTAAGTAATATTAGTATAGTATAGTTAGTAAGTAAGTATAATGGTTAGTAAGTATAATTTAGTAAGCCTGTATCAATGTTCATTCACTTGAAATAGGGAGATACTCACCGTGCTCTGGCTAAATATTTATGCCGAGGATTATTTGATTCTTGCATGAGTATAGCAGAGAGCTCTAGAGATTTCTGGAAATAAAGTAGACTTAGTTTAATAATAATAAAAATATTAATGCAAAACTTTCAAAGTTCAAATACTACACGACTGAGTAGCTGTTCTCATTTTCTTCAAAGGTTGCCCAATTGAAAAGTGGACGCATGAGATAAAGCAGTACTATATTTATTGGTATAAACCCATGCAGGAGGAACTCATCGCAGATTGCCAACAGCTAATCGACCAGTTCCAATGAGAGCACATAAAGTGAATGCAAAGTCGTACTAAAAGATGGGTGCGTCCAGAACAGAACAGCGTGGATTATTAAAAGATTTAGTGCCAGAAATTGAGAGAAACGTGGAGATTTTTCGTCAAAATGGTGGCTCTTAAGTACTGTCTGTAGGAGAAAACGATGTAAAAATGAACAAATCGTGGGAAAAAAACTTTGTGAAGGTCGAGCACCGTCATCGAACCTATAAAGTAAAAGGCAAATTAACGTAATGATCTTCAGTGAATCTATTCCCATAGTTGATCAAATGATTAAAAACAATCGATAAGTCACAGGTCGTGACATCTGCTTATATGAATAAAGGAAACAATGCACTAACCTTCTTCCACTTGAAGTTAAGGTATCTGACTAGTGCAAAAACATGATCAAAATTTCTGAAATCGAATTTATTATGAATTCAGAATTCATGTACTCTTAGTTTTCTAAAAATACGTTTTTTTTATTTGTACTTTAATTATTAACGAAGTTATGGCAGTTTTTTATAAAGTGATAAGACTGGATAGACTAGTGATTTTAAATCCTTAAATGCGTTTATCTCAAAATCCGTTATTTTTTTTCATATTTCACATCACCTTAACACGATATCTTATGCTGCTTTTGAAATAATTCTCTACAATTTTTCATGAGTGTTTATGATTATAGCACACATGTTTTGAATAACAGACTAAGAGAAGAAAGTAGAATTTCATTTTTTTTGCATGTTTTTTCTCAAAGGAAATGCGGAAATTATTAAAAATTTGCTTCTTTAACTAAATTGATCCCTAACTCAGTAGTATATGCACTTGCCTTCGAGGTAATAGCTCAACCCTGTTGATAGCCTTAAAAATAAAATTCTCAAACGATTTTTTTGTTTCAGGCGATAGAAATTTTTTTACAGTGTTTAGCGTGTATGCAAAAAAATTCTTTATTTTTAACTAAAAATGACCCTATAAAAAGAAAATAATGATAATGATAATTATTTTTGCTAGTTTTATACGTTTTCACTCATAATAAAACAAATAAACTAGCTTTTTAAAAAATTTATATTAATATTCAGCAAAAAAAGTTGAAAGTCGGATTCGTTAATTTCACTTAGCCTATAAGTTCCTTTTCGCATGCATCCATATTTAACACGGCTTTAAATTTATTTCAAAAACTCTCATGTCCATTACTAAATTCAGTTATATGCAATCTGTTCTCTTTCAATTCTCTTTTTTTATAACTCTTTGTGGTGGCGCTGCTGCCGCTACTGTACTTTTAAAGCCGTCTCACGTGTACACTTTTCATTAGGAAATCCTTACATGAATGAAAATAAGAAAGAGATAGGTAGAATAAGAGGAAAGTATTATTTTATTCAAATGGTCTTGTTCAACACTGTCACCTATTCTAATAAATCTCGTCTAGATCAAAGTTGAGAGGACCAGTATTGTATGAGTAAACATTTTATTTATCAAAAGATGGCCTTAGTAATTGTTATTCGCTAAGAAAATCAAGAAAGGACCTTCACTATCCTTTTTCGAACAAATACTTCTGTTAACGTTTTATAAGGCTGTGGGAAGTATACTGCCTACTTAAGTCAGTCATTTTTAAATGTCGATGAGAAGCTATTTTGTCACTTATGATTTGTTTGACCATCTGTTGATAATTGCAGAAAATAGAAAAAATATCTATGAAGTAGGCTATGTTTACATAAGAGTGGGTAACAGTAAATGTTAGCATGGGATCAAGAAAATAAACTGACACCGGATAGCTATTTTCTCTTGTGCGTTATTCATTCGTTCATTTGATCATTTCTCATCGAGTTTATTTATATTTATGAACCAAAATTTGGTTAGTTATTAGCTCAGAAATTCAATTTAGGCGGATCCTTTACAGTAGGTGGTTTTTTTAAAAAAAATTCCACCCGCTTTCCCACCAAACAATACTAGTCTTAAAAATTATATTAATTTTAAGTAATAGGCTCAATGAATTTCATTTTATCTCAATTCCAAAAATAATTTAATATAACATGAAAAGAAGAAAAAATGGTAAAATGAATGGTTAACCGAAATCAATTCATGAGAGTTCTTTTTTGTTTCTTTAACGTGTAAACTTAGTTTTATTTTATTTCCCGGATTTCAACTATACTTCGTCATGACATGTGAGACCTTCAAAATAAGAAAACACACCGTTTACAGTGCGAATTAACTGAATGAATGTTTCTGGTATTGTTAAGGATTCCTTTTTTTTGTTTGTAATTTTCTATGATTTATCATCTATTTATTTTTTTTTCATTATAACTAGAGTCTAGTTTAGAATGAAAATCATAGCTTCCATTTCTTTAAAAAAATAAAGCGCATGTTGAGTGATCTGAACAATAAAAACATAAAATTTTAGTGTGAAAGAAATCAAATTTGAAAATTTGCAGAAAAAATAAATAATAAATTAACCAATTAAATTAATTTAAAAAATTCATGAAATCAATTAAACCATTTAGAATTAAATGCTGCTATTTATAAATGGTTCTTGTGAAATAAAACTCGAAAGAGTACCATCATTCGGGGCAATAGTGCAGATGAATTTTAAAATGAAATGTCTTTAGCAAAAAAAGAACGCTTATTTAATGCTGTATACTTAGTATAGTTATTATAATTAAATATGACTATATAACACTTTAATTAAAGAAACTCGTTTTCCAAAGTTTGTCGATGAAATTAAATTGAAAGACGATGTTCCCCATATAAAAAATATTTGGTAACGTAAAGTTCCGAAATAATTGTTACGACGTAATTTTGAGCTAATTTTTTTGTCCATGAGTGTATGTATATGACGACGTAATGTGTATATGACGACGTATTGTTATGGCATAAATAAGTGACGACGTAATTTTTTATTTTTTCTTCTTTTTCCTTCCTTTTTTGCAAAAATAAATTACCTAAAGGATTAACCTTTTCAATGGTTAATCTCTTAGCAATCAATCATCTCATGATTTAAATGATTAACCTCCTAAAAAGTACGTATATGTACTAATACGAGAGTACCTCATCCGTTAAAACCAGAAAGGCTCATTTCATGTATAATGCCGAAGGCAGTGAAGAGATCGCGTGATCACTCCAATTTAATTAAATAATAATAAATATCCAATTGTGCTAGTAAAATAAATATCCAATTTATGAAACACGCACTAAATTAAATCTTGTGAAAACAGGTATCAACCTTCTACTATCTTTTCTTTTACTCAATTTTTCTCTTTCGAAGTCTTAAATTCAAATGATGTAACTTTTAATATTGTTTCTTAAAATACTATTGCTTTAGAATTTGATTTCTTCAATATTTTTCAGTGCAAGGCCTGCATCACTGAAATTGAAGTTTTTTTTAGTGCAAATCCTGCATTTTAGCGTTCAAAAAGGCAAAGAAGGCATAGCAAATTAAAAGAAAATTGGCAGTTACTAGCCGGAAAAAAGATGTCCTATGTAGGAAACATTTTACGCATTTACTTAAATTTTTTCCAATAATCTACATTTTTTTAATTCAATAGTATCCTTTTTCAGAAACATCAAGCAAATTGAAAAGAGATAGTGGAAAAAAATAACTAATTAGAAATATTATGTTGCACTGTTCAATTTGTGTTAAGTATTTGATGCTTACCTCGTGGTCTGGTTCAATGTCCAGAGCCTTATTGAACTGCTCGAGGGCTTCAGTATTTTTTCCCTGATCCATCAAAACAATTCCCAACTGCAAAAAGAAAAAAAAATTGCATAATTTAAAGTTTAAAAACTGTATTCCTTTCAAGTACATTATAAAGGAATAATGATTTCAAAACAGTCACTGGTAAATAGTATCGTGAAACAAAGTCATGACAACAAGGATCATTAAAATATTTTAAAGCTCTCATTCGACCATAAAACTGTTTGGGTGTAAAAGAGATATTCCTTTTCTTAAATACGAACAAATACATAGATGGGAAACTATTTAAAATATTCTTTGGATATTTAGAGTGATTAAAATAATGATCTATCTGAATATCATTAAAATCAATGAATTTTCGTCACGTATTTTTATGCGTTTTAAGAACGCAAAAAAACCACAGAACTGATGATTTAAAAAAAAAAGTAGATTTTCTTATAATAGGTGGCTTTGCCTTATGTTCAAGTATTTGCTTCTCATTCACCATTACTTGCTTTTTTCCCTCACAAGTTGAAAAGAAAAAGATAATTTTCCTTAGAAAATATATAATTGCTATAATTTTATGCGAGCTCATTTTGTTATGATACCGAAATGAGTGGATACCTAGGTTAGAAAAATAATCGACTGAGTCTGAAAAAAAATCTTAGCTCAAAAGTACAGAATGTGTTACACAAAAGAAGTAAATGAAAAGAAATTTAACTTGTTGATAATATGCAACGAAAAATTAACAAAATACAATTGGTTGGAAAATGTTGTTTAACACTTTTGTGACTTTCATATTTTTAAACATTTCGATACCAATGTTACAGTTTTTATCCTGCAACAACTAATCACTCACTCTCTTAGATTTTTTAATTATATTTATTTTTTTGTTGTTATTTTTGAATATCAAGTCAAGCCTGAGCTAATAAAATTAAGATTTCGAGAACGATACATTTTCTACAACATTGGATAAATAGACATTATTTAAAGTAAAAACAAAGAGAAAAAAAATCACAAAGAAAGATTTTAAAACTACAATAAATTTTAAATGTCGAATGAAAATCTCCTGCTAAGTTCAAAAATAAAAATGGCTCTCTCGACACTTAAAATATCAATTCAGTATAGTCGCATTCTTGTGGCCTGCAGGCCTCTTAGTTTTTTAATTTACTATCCTTTTTTTTAATACAGAGAGAAAAATGTTCACAATTTTCCTTACTAATAGAGGCTGCGTATAATATGGTTGCTGTATAAATTAATTCATAATAAGTCTTATTTTACATTTGTTACTTTTTAAGTTTCAAAATTTATTTAGTTTTTACACATGGTATTAATATGTGTGACAAGCCATATATTTGATATTTTCATTATTTTAAATACATGATTTAAACATACACTTATGGATTCTACCCTTGTACGCTTACCGACCCCCGAAGTTTGTTATGGAATCTTCTATGGTTTGATTTGGAAATCATGCTCGCTTAAGTAAAACCCATTTCGAATGTGTTCTAGCGTAAAGTCTTAAAAATTCGAATACATTATTTTAGACAATAGTAAGATATTGAAATAAATTATTTATTTATTACAAATGCCCCGAAGATAGGCTATGACGCAATTAGTTCTCTGGCCTTCCAATATATCTTAACATTACGAAGATATAGAAATAAAAAACTTTTGAAGTGAAATAAATGCCTTGCAATAGAAAAACTTGAAAAAACAAATCAATAATTATACTTTTAAAACAGAATTACTATGAAAAATTCCCAATTTTTTTAAAACACACTAATAAATTTCAGAGTTATCACTCTAAAGCTATTATTATTATTATGAATAAAATTGTTATTATTGAACCAAAATATGTATAATTAAAACATAATGTAGAAAACTTACCCTGTTGATATAAATTATTCCTTTTCAAACTTTCAATTCTTAACAAATTTATAGTTAATTTGTTTCAACTTTTCATTGTCCACGACAAAAAATAATAGTCATTCAAAAATTTGTAAACAAGCACGTTTGCTCTTTCTTGCTTATGACTGATCATACTCTTGTTATTTCACTTTTATTGTTGCCAACGAGAAAGAGATAATCAATGTCACCGTTTAAGAGAAATGTATGTGAATATATTGCTTAAAAGCAAACGGAAATTAGCTTTAAACTATATAATGCGCTTTTAACAAAATTTTTACATTGAAACTTAGCATCAAAATGGATAGCTTATGTAGTTTAGTTTGGTAGCACTCCTGACAGCTAATCGAATGATTTGTTTCCATGTAATCATTAGTTTTATCCGTGCATTATGGACTCAGTCTAATGTTCTGTAACATTTAAAACTCCTTTCAGCTACGAAAATAGCATAATATTCCTGACAAACGTTACAACAGCCTTAATGTTAAAGACGGTTCTTAAAACATTTTTATAATTCATATAAAAGCAATCTTACATTGAAATGGAGATCAGGATTGGATTCATCAAATTGTATAGCTCTATGATACATGGACTCGGCTTCTTTCGATCTGAAACAGAAAGTGAACAAGAACTGAATGGGAGTTCAACCATCTGATGATTGTGAGAAGGGATTATTGATTGGAGATAAAGAAGAGAAAATAATTTGCTTCTTTGGAAAATCAACAAAACAGATACACTATCCATAGATACTCTCCTTTTTTTCGATCTTTTGTGAGAGATTATCTTATCATTTCATTTACAACCACATTATTCAAATTCATAAATAGAAATGTATTCATCTTGAAGAATTCATTAGCGAAATGAATTAAATCGTTTTATTTGCCGCTTTGAATATTCATTAGCTGAACCTAAATTGGAACCGATTTAGGCTTAGTATAATTAAGTGCGATGCAAATAACTTGTCTGACAAAGAGAAATGTCTAAATAAATACACTCTTCGTGAAATTAAAAAATTAATCCGAATATTATTCAGTATTTTCTTTTTAAATTACCAATCATTCAAAGATTTAAACCTGACTCTTTCGGATTGGATTGAAAATCCAAATTATATAACTATTTTAATAATTCAATTTATTTAATTTTTTTTATATTATTACATTTTACGAAAAATGAAAATAAGTAACTTTAAATAGTTACTAGTCAGCGCATAGTTCATGTTGGTGAATATATTAAGTTATTTCGGGTGGGAAAAGTGCATAAAACCTCATAATCTATAGTCAACACAAATATTAAATATTTCCTTTCAACAAAAATGCTTCCTCTACTTTCAAAAGTAATTAACAAGGGATTAAATATACGCGTCTTTTGTTTTAATTTTATTTTTGTTTAAATAGTTAAGTTTGCAAAACAAGTTAAAGTTAAACGAGTAGTATGATCCGCACATTGAACTTAAGACACACAACTCATATACGAATCGGATTTTACTGGAATTCTCTGAATGATTTGCATACATTGTATTGCAAAGAAAGGACAAAATGTTCAGAAGTCTGTATTTTTTGGAGTATAGCGATATTTATTCAAACAAACCCTTCTTGTAGATGTAGATAAGAAAAACTCTTAGTCATCGTAATTTGAATTTCTAAACATTTTAATTCAAACATTTTTATTTGAAAGATGCGTAACATGCTTTTAGCATATTCCAAAGTCTAATTTCAATGATCTCTGTTAGTTCGTTCAAAGCTTAAGTAAAAAGTTTATATGTATAAGTTTATGTTAATAAGGAACGGTGCCGTGATGGCTCAGGGGAGAGATCATTCGCCTTCCGACAAAGTGAACCGAGTCCAAATCCCAGCGATGGCTGGTCGATGCGAATCCTGGATCCGGCTTGCACCGACCACAGTACTAACGTAAAATATCCTCAGTGATAGACGGTCTTAGACTCCCCCTGCCGCTAGTCTAACCGTTAAAGATTTTTGTGATTTTCCTCTCCAAGTGACGCAAATCAAAAAGTCCACCACGATGGCAAATTTCTCCCAATGCTTGATCCAGGAGTTCCCTTGTCTTCTGGATTAGGTTGAAAATTACGAGGCTACGGAGTTGAGCATTAGTAATAGTGAAGCAAAGCATTGGGTCAGCTGTTCAACGAAGGTTATAACATAAAATAAAATTACAATAAACGAAAACTAAAATATTCACTACTGTCAGAATTTCCACGTGTTCCAGAACCTGTAGAAAGAAAAAGTCAAGAACGTAGAGATCAATGTTAAAAGAGTTGCTAGATAACAATTTGAAATTGTTTTTGAAGTGAAACTTCTAATGCGACTTCCAACAAGGTTGCGTTAAACGTTTAACGCTACCGTTGTCATGGAAACTAGTTTTCTCTTTACGTTCGTTGAGCACACGAGGTAAGAGAAAAACATAGTAGGTAATATTGGCGTTAAAGAAAACAAAGCGATATTTTTTTTTAATTCGCCAAGAATACCTTACTGAAATTTAGAGTATTTAGAAATAAGCTGATTTCTTATTATAATTTTTTTTAAAAATATATTTTATTATTAATATTTTTTAACTAAGCGAATTTTTTTTTAAATGAAACAAAGTATTGTATTTAAAATGTTAATAAGCATATTTTTTTATTAAATACAATTAATAAAAATACTTTGATGCACATAGATACTCTGCTTTAGATACTTATTTTTCTATGTTTTTTTATTTCATTTTTGCCGGTTTTTATTTTATAAGTGAAACTTTTAATGCGACTTCCAACAAGGTTGCGTTAAACGTTTAACGTTACCATGGAAGGGGTATGAAAGCACTGTTGCGTTAAACGTTCAACACTCCTGGGGAGGGGGAATAGAAAGAGACAGAGCGAGAGTGAATGCGTGGCACTCNCTAAAATATTCACTACTGTCAGAATTTCCACGTGTTCCAGAACCTGTAAAAAGAAAAAGTCAAGAACGTAGAGATCAATGTTAAAAGAGTAGCTGGATAACAATTTGAAATTGTTTTTGAAGTGAAACTTCTAATACGACTTCCAACAAGGTTGCGTTAAACGTTTAACGCTACCGTTATAATGGAAACTAGATTTCTCTTTACGTTCGTTGAGCGCACGAGGTAAGAGAAAAACATTGTAGGTAATATTGGCGTTAAAGAAAACAAAGCGATATTTTTTTTAAATTCACCAAGAATACCTTGCTGAAATTTAGAGTATTTAAAAATAAGCTAATTTCTTCTTATAATTTTTTTTGAAAATATATTTTATTATTAATATTCTTTAACTAAGCGAAAAAATTTTTAAATTAAACAAAGTATTGTATTTAAAATGTTAATAAGCATATTTTTTTATTAAATACAATTAATAAAAATACATTGATGCACATAGATACTCTGCTTTAGATACTTATTTTTCTATGTTTTTTTATTTTATTTTTGCCGGTTTTTATTTTATAAGTGAAACTTTTAATGCGACTTCCAACAAGGTTGCGTTAAACGTTTAACGTTACCATGGAAGGGGTATGAAAGCACTGTTGCGTTAAACGTTCAACACTCCTGGGGAGGGGGAATAGAAAGAGAAAGAGACAGAGCGAGAGTGAATGCGTGGCACTCGAACGCATGCGCGTAGAAAATGATAATTAAAAGATGAGATCAATTGTAAATTGTAAACAATGCTAATAAAGTTTGTCATAAAGAAACAATATGATTTCACTAAAAATCAATTTCTACCCCTTCCTATTTTCATTTCCACATTACGAAGTTTCACTTCTTCCGCGCGGAGGGACTCCACGCGCTATTTTTTTATTTTTCTTATAACCTTTTAATGTATGACACGTGCCTCTCTCGTTCCCTGTCAGAAAACAACGTCTAATAAGTAAATTATGAAAAACTACTCTCGGGATGGCATCGTACGTGTCGAATTTTTAAAAAAATGTAAGCCTATTTTTTGGAAAAGACAAAGAAGACTTATAAATGAATGAAATTCATAAATGAAGTTCACGTTCTATGTCACGTGAACCCTATAGAATTGACAACTGAAATCCGCATTATTCTCCTTAATACCTCGGTTGTAGAGAGTGCTTGAATTTAAAATCATTTATCGTCTTTTCTTATTTTTAAAACTGGAAATCTCGCAAAAGGAATTTATCATCCTTGGAGTAAAATTACAAGTTTCAACCACTTCCTAACCGCATGAACCAAGTTTTTCACCACATATTCAATAAAAAAGCATTTATCATCTCTCCAAATTTCGATAACTTTTAAGAAAGTTACATAGTTTGAAATTAAATTGGAAACCAGTGTTGGATGACTATTTCCTGGCTCATTTGAGGCAGATCTAAAATTACTATTTATTGCTAAATAGAAATTATTGCCACTCAAAAATTAAACTTTTTACTGACATGAACAATCTCATTTTCAAAAAATTAAAAATAACACACTATTTTTTTAAAAAAAAACTGAGTATTTTCAAGAGAAGAAATTTTTTTTATTTTTGTCACACCTAAAGCGAGAAACATAGGACGCATTAGTATCGTAGTTAACTTGTAACACCACCGAAAATTCCCACACATGTCTTTTAAAAGTGACTCGCCCAACATTCTCTCTTTTTTTTTTGTTGTCCTAGGTTTTTCAGAAATGAAATTATTCTCTCCCATATAGTTTGCTTAAAAAACAAAATGTTTAAAATTTTTATTCCACTTCAAATATTTACTTTTGTTTTCTCACAAATGAGTGGAATGAAGCATTTCCAGTTTCTATCAAAATACTATGTTCGCTTTTATAAAAATAAAGAGCTGACTTAAGAGGGCATGACATTATTTAGGGAATTTCTCCCACTTGAGACAAAGGCTGATTCATTTCAGAAGGGTATTTTTTTCTAAGGAGACTCGTTTAGTATTCTTGTTTCTAGAAGCGGTGATTTCATATTTTGCGGAACAAAGAAGTTAAGCTTCAAAATAAATTTCAAAATGCAATTTTTTTCGCTAAATATAACAGTGTTTAAAAATTTAATTTAATACTTTTTTATTTTCTTACGCTAGATCTGAAATAGATCCATAAAAAACAGTGTGTGGAATATGGTTTATGAGTGACATGGTTTTGTAACAATAAAATAACAACATGAGTTTCTCCTATTATTTCAAACAATAATAATTGCTGTTTATTATTAATAGTAATAGGGTTAATCGAGATAATTGAAGACTAGAAATCAAAAACGACTTAAACACCAAGAAATCAATTTGCTTTGTTTTTTTGCGTAAAAATGTCCTAAACACCAAGCTAAACAAAGTGGGATTGTAACTTGTGCCATTGCAAGGAAAAAGGAATGGGAAGCATGAAGTATCAGAGACAGTGTGCAATTTTCATTATGGTTCCAAATGAGAGCATACTCGCGTGTGTTTCATTTAACAGATTTCTTTGCTCTGACACCTAGAGAACTACGTAACGTGCAATAGCAAAAGAAGGAGCGAAATATTGTGTTCAAAGGGAAGAGGGGAAAAACCATAATGCATGCGGAACAAAGTTTTCCGAAAATGACGGAAGTTGATTGAAGCTCATATTAACTCCTTACTCGAAGAAGTCATTATTCAAGGAAGGAGTGCCTGAACTCTGATTTAAATTATTCACGATATGTTCAAGAAAGATCAACTCTGACAGCTCAGCTACATATACCTACTACAAGTTTATTTTTGAAAGGGATTTTAAAAAACTTACATTTGCGCATACTTGATCTGATACTTACAATACTTCTGCAGAAACTACCAGCCCTAGAGAAAGGCAAAAGACAACCATTCAGCTAGATTTGCATGTTCTCAAAAGTGAAAAGCACAAAATGACTCTCACATATGCCTGAAAGTGGTTTGACCATGTTTTGTATGGATGAATGGATCTGCACGTTTTATTTTTTCCTACTTTAACTTATTCAAGTAAGTTTTACTCCAGCTGCATCCACGACACTCTATGAATATGTAGAATGAAATCATGTTGCAAGATGAGGAGAAAAGCTTCATGCTTTTGGATCACTGGCTACTAAAGTTTCAGATATTCGATGGGTTGTAGTGATTTGGGCAGACAACTGCTGAAAAACTAAAAATTGGATGGTGCTATTTGTGATTTTGTATATACACAGTCCAGTCACATTAATGTGACCACCACCTACTTTCGACGTCAACGTGAAATAATCAATCACAGAGTGCATGTGGCAGCACATTACAGTGTAGTGTATATATTGGATGTCCTAGGGCATCGAAAAGCATTTCAGTCGTTGGCGCAATGCAGANAAAATGAAACTCCTTCAGATTTTGATGCTGCCACTCTCTCTTGATGTGAAGGTAGTGCACATGGGTAATGAAAACTTTTCTGACTTCGCAGCATTTGCCTACATGTTTTAAAAAAAGTCAAAGCTTCTCCAAAGTTTCTCAGGTAGGGCGACTAAACATGACCTTCTGATGATTGATATCAAAGAACCTTTCTTTGATCTTGTGCCATGTGATAAACATCTCAAGCAAAAGACAGTTTCCTTCATGTGTTCCTTCGAAATTTTTGTTTATACGAGTAACGTCCGTAAAAGGAATTGGTGAGGAAAAGAAGAAAAAATGCTGGAAATGTGCAATTTCCTCAAAAAACAAGAAGACAAGGACTCTTACCAAAACTTGTGTGGATGTGAATAATGCTTCAATACTTCTATTCAGGAATATATGCAAAACCTTGAAAGTAACTTTGTTTTTAAATCGTTGCTTTATTTTTTTTCCATATCTGAAATTTTTGCGTCAGTGAGACACTTTCAAGCATGTTGTTAAGTGATAAAAAAAAAGTAATATGTAAAGTAAGTACATTTTTACGATAAAAATAACAAAAGTATGAAGACGGTATTTAAAAGCTAAGCGTAAGGAAGTTAGGTAAGAAGGTGTTGTTGGCTACGAACCTGAAGGAGTGAAATGGAGAACACTTTAAATACCAGATGCAAGTGTTTTTTACTTTTCGGGGTCTCTCGAAATATTTTCTTTTTTGAACTTTGCTCACTTTTCATTTGTTGCCCCCAGTTACGAGGCAGGCACTCTCTTGTTATTCATAACAATGATGATTTTTTAAGGTAAAGTGTGTTCTTGCCTGGTATTCCCTAAACATTGTGTATTTATACCCGGTAGTGTTATATTAATAGCTATCGATCCTCGGAAATAACCAAACAAGCTCACTTACGTGACATTTGTTTTTCATACAGAAATGGATTCATTGAACATTTTTTTTTCAAGTCAGCGACCATGTACTAATTTTTAAGGAAAAGGATACGTGTTCTTGAGCTATTTATGGTCATATCAAGACCTAAATTGTGATAAACTCTTCTATCCTAGACAACTGGGCAATTTTCTGCCTCAAATGGGAATTTTTTCAGAAGAAATACATCACAACGTTAGATTGTTTTAAAAATATTAATTATTATTTAATAAAATGAGGATCAAAAATATTTAATTTTAAATAGTATTAAACGCATCTCAAATTTATTTCTCATTTGTGACAAAAAACAAACGAAATGAAACTCACTTAAAATGACAGCATAGTATTGTTTCGCAAAGCATTTATCGTTTTCGTAATGATTTGTTATGAAATCGCTAAATACTCACTCGTACCAGCGAAACAGTAAAGATAAAAAACATTAAAACAAATGGTTTTAACCATTGATACCCCTACTACAAAATCAGAAACTCTCCATTTCATCGTCGTTTAAGCATAGAAGTTAATAAGAATGGAGTTTTTTTAAGAAATCATTCATTATCATTAAGCGCTGTTTCGCGAAAATAACGCATAACAATGGGTGATGCGCGGAGCTTGTTAAAGTGTAAATTTAAAGGATATATTTCAAACCTGAACAAAAGTAATTATAATCATAAAGAAATGGGTCATTAATTTAGTTAATAAAGAGTCAAAGAGAATAAACAGCGGACAATTATTTAGAGTTTATGAAGAACAAATTAGATAAATAAAAGATAGCATTGGAAGAATTTTTTTTTCGCGATGACTTTTTCGTGTAGGCTATTACTGAGATCGGGAATTTTGGTTTTACAATAGCATGAGTATTTTATTTAATTTTATAACCACCGTTGTAGAGCCGACCTATTTTTGGGTTTACAGAACTAATGTTCAACTCCGCAGCCTTTTAATTTTGAACTAATCCAGAAGACAAGGAAACTCCTAGATCAGTACCTCCAGAGGTATGATTTGTTATTGGAAAATGGAAGACTTCGTTCCTCGGGAGATTTAACGTGCGTCATTCACCATTTACTGCACGGGGAGGTTTCAGCTGGTGGGGATCGAGCCCACGACGTCTTGGAGATGGGCCCAGCGCAATACCAACCAATGCTAATCCAGCCCTGTTGTTTTGTTTGTAAAGAAACAAACGATTACCTATGTAGGAAGAAAACTCAACTATATTTGACAACAAAAAATAAGTATGGAATGCAGGCTCAATAAGAAGAAGTGACCGAGAAGTAGTTTTACTTGTTAAAATGAAGTTTTGAAAATGCATAACGTTCAGCGAAACATTTTATTTCATTTAATTTATACATTACGATTTAATGCATATGCATTTCATTCATACTTGGAAATTATATTTAAAACAAATAATTCATAGAATTTCTATATGCACCGAAGAGCCATTACATTATGACCACCCTGCTAATAACATATAGGACCACCTTTAGCCCTCAAAACTGCTAACACCCGCCGTGGTATTGATTCCACAAGGTGCTGATAGGTAGTTTGAGGTATCTGGTACCAAGCGCTCACCAACTGGTCCTGCAATTCCCTCACATTGCGAGGGGGTAGCGTGGCAGCACGAATTTGGTTTTCCAAGTAGGACCACAAATGCTCTATTGGATTAAGGTCAGGTGAATTTGGGGGCCAAGACATGACTTGAAAGTCACTGGAATGTTCCTCGAACCAATCCATGACGATTCGACCCTTATGACATGGTGCATTATCCTGTTGGTAAACACCATCCCCCGCAGGAAAAACTGTTGCCATGAATGGGTGAACCTGGTCTGCAACTATGTTCAAGTAGCTTACAGACGTCAGGGATTGTTCTATGAGGATTATGGGTCCTAGTGTGCCCCATGAAAACATTGTTCCTGGGTGAGAAACCATGAAAACCTGGGCGAGCCCATTGTTATAGATAGAGGGTGGTCATATTGTAATGACTCTTCCGTGTATATACACAATTATAAATATCAGTGTTTTTAGTCACAACAGTTTTAAGTTCTTTAATCCAAATTAACTCGTAAAATGTACAAAAATAGGCACGATCTTTCTTAATAAAATCTCCCTTCTGCGTTAAAAATGAGGCATCACAAGAACTAAATTTTACGATATACGATAACTAAATTTCACGACTATACAACCTGCGTGACTAATTGACATTTTTAAAACAAAAATATGGAATAGTTGGTTTATATTAATTTTTACCCTATTAATTTTTCCTCTATTAAACTTTCATTTTTGCCCTACTTACCACTCGGATTGTTTCAAATTTTTGTTGCTTTTTTTAAAAAAAAAGTACGAAGAAGAGTTTCGAATCAGAAATTTTTAATCATGCACGTTTAAAGTACGTATGACTGCTCATTTGCTCGATATTTCAGTTCTTTTTTATCAACCTAAAAAAGCATCCCCTAGCAATATACGTGTTTTAAATTATGCAAATAACAGTTCTAATTTTAAATATGGTTTTTGGAACTCTTAAATTAATTCTTATAAGAGAACTAATTAATTATTTTATTTAACTTTTAATTGATTATTTAATTAAATTAAATAATTATTTTTATTTCAAAAATTTTCAGTATAAGTGCTATTATTTATGTCTGGTGATATATTATTCCTCTCATTTACTGTTTTCGACCTGAACTCAAATGTGAGTTCAGTTCAGTTAGCTATAAATTAGAAACTGATCATGCGTTAATTTATTGACTCAATGTAGTATGATGATTGACTTTACTTGTTCATCTTTAGAAGAACGTCTCCTCTGTTGAGGTATGCATTCGTAAAATCAGATCTCAGAGTGATGGCCTCTCTATACAGCTGAAACATAAAAAAAAGCTTTTATTCATTTAATCATGTTTTTTAAAGTAAATAAAAAAAAATTGCTAACACAAAAATGTTAAATAAGATAAAGAATTCATCTAAATAATTCCATAAGGAAATAAAACTCATACAGAAATTATGCTACATATAAACACAAAATGGGTTTTGAAATGTCCAGTGAAATACTGACAGATATTTTGGAAGGTTTGGAATTTAGTCACAAAAGTTGCTAACATAATGGTGCTTGTACACAGTTCTACCAATTAATACAAATCCCACAGACTGTATTCTAAGCTACGATATTCCAACGCCAGAAGCACACGTTGCTCAATAAAATTGCAAACATACAGTACACAACCTCCCTTCAAGTTTCAACGCTAGAATTAACCGCTCAGATCATCGGTGGCATGTAATGCCCATTTGCTAGCAGCGTTTCTAACTAAAATCCAAAATTTCAATATAAAAATTTTACAACTTTTACACTAAACATTCTGTAAATTTCCCTCCTCTATCACCATTTGTCCCCGAGAGTTTTAATTTTGAAATCATTCTGTTCTCTACTGTATTAAATACATCAATAATAACTTTATTTGTTACAGTAAGAATGGCAGTAGTGAAGACAAATGAAAAAAACTTGTTCTCAACATAATTCTTTTTTCAATAATTGTTTAATAAATAAAGATACTTTATTCTTATTAAAAATCATTCACGTTTCCGATAAAAGTTTTGTGCATTTCAAAAGCCATCAAATCCACCATAAATAATGTGAAAAGCATTTAAATAAACTTCATTTTTTTTGGATCTTAGCGACAATGCAAATGAACATAAAAATTGATATTTTTTTTAAATCAAAAATATTTAGGAAAATTGTTATGCCTGCTAGGCATTCTTTTAATGGCGCGTGCCACAATCAGAAGAATATTCAGATGCGATTAATACGCTTTCATACCCATTACAATTTTGGTTTTATTTGTTTTATTTTAAGTTCGAGTTATGGGACCACATTTTAACTTTGACATCCTAAACCTGGGTGGTACTAAATATATAAAACTTAAGTATTTGTATAATTAGTATTAGTATTAGTAGCATTAGTATAAGTATTTGCATTATTAGTATTACTATTATTAGAGTATTAGCATTAGTAGTTTTAGTATTATCAGTATTAATATTATTATTATTAGTATTATTAGTATTAGTATTGATATTATTAGTATTAGTATTAAGTTATTTGTATTAGTATTAAATTTATTAGTATTAGTATTAAGGGAATGTCAATTTGAGCTTTGAAAATGCATGCGGAGCGATAAGTTTAATAATAACAAATTCCAATCAGTTCAGAGTTATTACTTCATTCAAAGAGCGCTTGGTAACAAATATTAACTTATGCTAAAATTAATTGAAATCATCTTTCAAACTTTCTGAATTTTAATTTACATGAGAAGAATAAGGATATATTCATAATTCACCACATGATTTAAACACGCGGTAGATTTGAACTCAACAAAGAAAGTATATCAACTAGATAAAATTTAAGATTCTCTAAAGAAATGAGGTAGGTAGGTACTTTATTTACGTCGCACTAGAGCTGCACAATGGGCTATTGACTACGTTCTGGGAAACATCCCTGAGGGTGATCCGAGAACATGCTCTTGCAATTTTTGTCCTCTGCAGAGAGGATGGCACCTCTGCTATGGTATCCCGACGATCTGCACGCCAAGTCGAGCACTTTACGTTAGAACAGTTTAACGAGGACCGATGACACGCACCCTCGGTCCCTACGTAGGCTGATGAAAGTGTTCACCCACCCACTTACTGACCGCAGCCAGTGATGCTTAACTTCCGTGTCCTACTGGGAATCGTGTCCTTGTGATCAGTCCACTGCGGGAAATCCAAAAGAAATGACTTTCAAAATAATAAAATATGGTTGATAAAATAACGAAATACCAAATATTGAGAAAAAGTACAAATTCATTACAAACATTTTTATTATCATATTGGGCAAATGGTGTAGATTAATTTGGAATTATTATGGCCATCGAATTAAATCAAATTTACATACGTTCATCTTGTAGATATTTATTATCAAATTAAAATGAATGATTCATTCAGATGTAATACAAGCATAGCTGCTTATGTCATTAGCTCAGCATGGTTAGCATGTTGTTATAAATGGTTTTAAAAAATAGTACAGATTTGTATTTATGGATTTTTAGCTATTCAAATTTTTAACGGCTTTAAAACCGTAAACTTTACGGTTAATTGGATGGACAGATTGATGCCGTTTATTTTAGCATAATTTGAGAATGAAAATTCTTGATAAGAAGTCTTACCGCATCAGCTTCTTCCAGTCTACTCTCGTTCTGCGAGATGAGAGATGCGAGATGGAGGAATACCTGCAAATGACTGGGCGTGACATACAATTCCTTCTTTTCAGCCACCGGAAACAATGTCTTCGCCTGTAACAACAATTTTATATACTTTTGAGTCATTTGAATTAAAATAACTGTAATCTTTATCTTTCCTTTATGCACTGAACAATGAAATTAAAAGGAAATTAACAATTTGTCCCCTTCTTGTTGGAAAAAAATCTGCAATTCTGAAACATTTCTCTTTCTGCAAAATGACAATTTTAGGACTGCTTAAAGCAATTTGTTAAAATTCTCTTAAGCATTAAACTATTTATGCAAGAATGTTTATTCATTAACTGAGTATCATGTTGAAAGTGTTCATGTAGGGTGCTTCACTCATAGTTCATAACGATTGACGTCACCTTTTCTTTTCTTCAATATTTTGAACCACCTTCCTTTACCCTTTTGTTTAACTATATTGCATAAAGATAGACTAACAGTCAGTTAAAAAACAATGCGCATGTTATAGATCATATTTCGGATTTTATTTCTTAAACTTTTAACTATGAGTTTGAATGAAATTTGTGAGCGTAGCTATAATATTGATTACATGGATACTTATTTCGATTAGAAAATCAACACAAGCAATATAAAACTTTACTCTGCTGATTTTGAATGTCTTTATTTTATATTAACCACTCCATGGATTGTCACTCCTTTTGAAAACCCACCCCTCTTTTGCTACAAATCTCTCCGATTTTCTGAACGCTTCCCTCCCCTCCCATCATTTGTGTACTACCCCCCATACTTACATAAAATTCCAGCAATGACCTGATTGCAACTTTTGATTTCCAATACCTTCCTTTTCGAGAATTTAAAATCAATTCATATAATCGAACACATCTCAGAGTTAGTTGTTATAGGTTTTTTTGAATGTGCTATGAAATAAACACAAATCGATCCACGCTTTTTCAAATAGTATTGCCTTATTGTCAATAGCAAATCTCGCAATTATTGATATATTTTATTTTATAACCATCGCTGAATAGCCAACCCAATTTTTGGGTTTTCGACTACCAATGTTCAACTCCGTAGCCTCGTAATTTTGAATCTAATCCAGAAGGCAAGGGATCAAGTATTCGGAGAAATTTGCCTTCGTGGAGGACTTTTTGATGGAACTAACCCACATTTGCGTTGCATGAGAAGGACGACCACGAAAATTGAAAACGTGTTAAAAAATGTGTTACAGAAAGAGGCTTTTAAAGATTTATTACTGCAGGTTTTTCAAAGAGGACAAAAATGATTTGAAATAAACTGATGTTATTTTGAGGTTTGAATAGCTTGATGCAATATATTAACCTAACATTTCAAACAGACCTTGTTGCAAAGAAAGTTTCAAAACTCAGAAAGATAATGCAGGGTATATTGCAACTTTAACAGCATTCATTTTATTAATCATGGGGAGATTTAACTTTCTTCACCTGCTGCATTGAAACTAACTAGAAATAAGCGCTTTGATATTGTAAAAAAAATTATCTGAATATTTTATTTTGAATATGTAATGATTTTTTTTTAAACTTTCAAAAGGAATAAAGGGAAAGTTGTAAGTGCGCCAAGTGAAAGCAGGAGCCCCATTCATGGGATAAGCAAACATTTATATTGTATTTCGTAATAGATATTTGTGATAATAATACTAGAAAAATTTACCTATGAATGAATACACCCTTTCGATATTTTGGCAAATCTTATGTGGATTTGCAGAAATTAAGATTGCACCTTTTTCTTAAAATATATTATATAATATATAACCGCCGTTAAACAGCAGACCCGATATTGGGTTTACGACTATAAATGCTCAGATCCGTAGCCTTGTAATCTTGAACCTAATACAGAAGACGAGGGAGCTCCTGGATCAAGTATTGGTAGAAATTTTCCTTCGTGGACTTTTTGATGGAACTAACTCGAATTTGCGTTACATGGAGAGAAAAACCACTGAAATTTTCCTAAAAATGATTGCATCTTAGCCTATGAAATCCAATCATCTGAACAAAGGTTATTCAAAGTGATGCCTTTCTTTCGCACTACACCTGACATTCATGACACATGACATGACAACAATTAGCTCACTGTGATTCGATTTTTTTATCCATATCCTTCTGGGTGCTCTTTTATTGGATGAATAAAATTTGTAAATATTATTTATTGTGTTGAAATTTGTAGTCGAATAAAATGCTAAAAAAATATTTTACCTGACGATAGATGTCCTCTGCTTCACCGTATCGACGAAGAAGTGTTAAAATACGACCAGCATTTAGATAACTTCTTGTATCAGATGATTCAATGCTACAAAAAAGATTCATAAAAGCGAAATACTAAAATTATTCGTATTTATAATATTCCTAATTCTTAGAGATCATGTACCTAACAGATTCATATACAAATTAAAATACTTCATAAAATGCACGAATTTCATATACTTTTATGATTCAAGTTGTGTTTGAAAGAGGGATGATTCATTTTGATGAACGAAATCGTTAAATCTTGAAGCATATAAATTGAAAACTTAAAAGGTGCAATGATGAACAGCTGGTAGAAATTCACCAGAAAAGAAGTCCCCAGACGGCCAATACACACCAATACAAGCCAATATCACGGAAATACAAGTAGAAGTTGCGAGGTAAGAGAGTACCGAAACAGGATATGGTATGATGAACTATAAGCTTTGTGAAGAGTTTGAGGGAGATCAAATGAAGGTACCATGACAGATATGCGAGTTAAAAAACGTGTGTCAGCAAGCGATGCAACAGTTAGCAAACGGGATCCGTGGATGATCCTGAGTTTTTAGCGACAACTGGAAATGGACATTGCAAAAATGTCAAAATGTACGTGCTGTTGGCATTTTTGTATTATTTATAAATAATTATATAGCTATATATTTATATGACTTTTATTTGGTTTAATGGCTACTTTGCACTTATTTGTCAGTTATAGTGTCATATGGTCTTTTCACAACCAATAAACACCACTCCAATTACTCGCATCGGGAGATTAAAAAATATATATGTATAGAAATATTACGAGGGCACTCCAAAGAAGCACCAAACCTGTTTGTTGCATTTGGTTAAGCGTTTGTCAATTTTTCAAACATAATCCTTAAATGAGTCAAACCATTGTTTTAGACATTGTGACAGTTTCATGTGCTTATATCAGCCCAGTTCATAGTCTGGTCCTCGAGAAAGTTCACATCTACAAAGAATTTTATCAAATTAAGGTACATAGGATAATCACTTATATTCTGAGTCCAGACTATAAGGTGTGTATGATAATGCTCTACATTTACAGCTATAGGATATGGATGGCTTGACTAGCAATGTGTGGGTTGATATATGCTTCTTTTCTTCGGTATTTAAGCGACTGTAGGAATTTTATCGTTTTGCCAGTGTTTTCCAGTAAATGTAGTTTTTCCAGTTATTGTTTAAAGTCGGTCTATTCAAACGTTAGACAACTCTGCTCAGAGATTATGGGGGATAGAAATGGGGTGTATCGATGCTTTCTCAAAAGCATGACGGAGATCCTAAAAACTGTCACAGCATCTAAAAAAAGACGCTGCATGGCGTTTATATGAAAAAGTAAAAAAATATTTCAGCATTTAAAATATTATAATTATTATTAAAATTAAAGAATTTTTGTATTATTTTCCCCTAAATGCAGGAGAATTTAGGGATTGTCTTCTCATTTAAGAATGATTGCAATTTCTCCATAATTCATGTATAAACTCACTTCATGGCAGTTCTGTAATGCTGTAGTGCTTCTTCGTACCGATTCATAGATTCATACACTTGACCCATGTTGTTGTAGAGCTTACCATTCCGTTGGTTTACTGCTAAAGCTGATTTGTACAAACTATATTCAGATTGCCTAAGAAAATAAACCAAAAACAATATTTACTTTTTTGTTAAACTTATATGCGCGCTAAATGCATAGCGATTCAAAGTGTTTTTTAACCAACACTTTTAATAAAAAAAACCTTATAGTGAAGTAACTAAAACTAATTTTTTGATTAGTTTTCATGATAATTAAAAAGATAATGAACATTTGACTAATAAACATTTTTGTGGATTCAATTTCTTTTCACAGCCGACTAGACTGTTTAGGGGTCAGGGAACTGGCCTTGGATCAAAAAAGTTCTGGGTTCGAATCCCGGGCAAGTCATGGATGTTCTTTCATTCTCTGTGCTATCCGTTCTTACTGTGGGCGCAAGGTTGGGCCACCTAATAGGGTGACACTGAGAGAGTGGCCATCAAATCTGCCCTTTAGATGCCTGTATTGACGAACGGTCATTTACCCAGGTGGTCATTGGAAAAAACATTTTTTTTGGACTCTACTTTTGTAAAATTGAAATGGTGGGTAAAATGTGAAGCTGTTTCCTCACTTATTCACAGTCTGATCACCAATATTTTATTTATTTACTTCGATGGCTTTTCTTGGACTAACGTTTTCACCTATAAAATATTCAGTCAAAGCCATTTATAAAGATAAAACTGATTTAACCATATCCTGAATATAAAAAGGAAATTTTTTATTAATCATTGGTTTCACGTTAAAAGACTTATACAAAATTCTGTTTTATGACTCGAACCGAAAGAGGCATATTTTTCAAGGTATAACAAAATATCTTCCTACAGCTTGTTTGCATTATGATATTTTGAATCTTTTTTCAGCAATTGAAACTTCATGACCTACTCCAGCAATTGAAACTCACTTTTTCTATAGTTTAAATTTTAAATTAGTTATTAAGGTGGAACAGAATTTGTGATGAAAAGTCGTGATCTTCACGATCATTTTAACATGCCTCCCCAAGTCAAAATTCTTGATGGTGCTATTAAAAAATACTGATGTTTTATGCTGATTCCTACATTGGGATGATGGTTGTTCACGATCGTTCCAACATTTTATTGCCAAGTTACTATGATGGAAATTCGTGATGGTTCATCATGGTACAAGAATATATTTCTTGTTGGTTCAGCAGGAATATACCATCAAAACAATTTACGGTTTTTTTACGTTGGACCATCATAAATCTGTCCAAATTCCTGCATTGGAGTGATGGTTACTTATGTTGGTTACCATTAAAAATTATAATGGTTTTTATGACAGAATTATTGATGGTTACCGTCAAAAATATGTGTGTCCATCAATAGAAAACCATCAAAAATTTTGACTGGGGTTAAATCTGTGCCAAAAATATATTTACCCAAAAATGATTCGTGTCACCCACTGTAAAGAGTATTTTATTTTTATTATTATAACCGTCGTTGAACAGCCAACCCAATATATGGGTTTACGACTACAAATGTTCAACACCGTAGCCTTGTCATTTTGAACCCAATCCAGGAGGCACTCACGGAAATGCTCACGGTTTCGGCACCGCTTGGCGCGGTCGAGAATAAGTTCTCTGAAAACCGCAAAATTGAGAATATGGTAACCCAACCGATCTATGCGTCACATCTTGCTACAGCGTGCAACCCTATTACGTTGATTGAGTAGGAAAATGATGGTTCTATTCTAGTTAAAAATTTCTTTCTTATTCACTTCTATCTTCACACCGCTCTTGTATTTTTTATAAGCGGTTTTCGTTTGGAATGAAAAATTCATACTTAATTTAATGTTTATGTCTCAGAATTTTATTTAAAAATAGATTATTGTAAATATTTTACTTTTCAACTTCTTTTTTTTATTATTGTTCTTAAAAGTGTAAAATCTATATATTTTTTATTTTATTTTACTTGCTAAGACAGTTTACCATTCTTTACTATGCTATATATATAAAGGCTTGTGTGCTCACTATATACTAAGGCATATTGCATTCAGTTTCCAATTCAAATGTAAGAAAATTTTATATAAGGTATTTTTATTGCAGTACATTGCAAAAATTACCTTTATCGCTAAATTCAGCATTTCAGATGCGTAATTAGGAAAAAAAATTAATTCTTTTATTCCAAATGCATAATAAAAATTCTTCACAATGAAATACATATTGTTACGCTAATAATGAACTATAATAGATTTGAGAAATGAGTTAAAGAACTTTATACAGTTAAAAAAAAATTGTCTCACTTGTTTGCTTTATCAGATGGAAGAGATTTTATTAAATTGCTTTTCCTCAAATAAAACATTTAATCAGAAAAAGGTGATAATTTTCAATTAGAAATATATATAAGAAATTTTTCACAAAGGAATCGATACTTTTACGAAAATAATAAATTAAGATAGATCTGAAAAAATAGACCTGAGAAAGCAATTAATACATTTAAAGTGCTTTAATTTAACCTTATCATTTTAGTCATTTGATTGATCATTTTAGTCATTTGATTGCAGTTTCAAAAGTAATAAAAGCTTCAAAAAAATGTTTATTTCATTATCATACGCAGCACTTTACTTTAACCTTATTATTTTATTCATTTTCAATAAGATGAAGATTTTATTGACACTACTTTAATATTTTAAAAGTCTCAAAAATTATAAAAATTCAGAAAACAAAGTTTTATTTAATTTTAATCCGATCAAATTTACTTTAACATTATTTTATTCAAATGCAATTTCAAAAGTGATGAGGTACAAAAACCAAGTTTCATTTTATAATTATACAACTAAAAATTTTGCCATTCCTTATGCCATTACTAGTGCCATTTCTTATAGCATTACTAAATAAGATATTATATAATAGTATAAGAAAAAAAATGAATGGTAGATTCAAAATAAATAAGAAATACTTCACAGAAAAATCGATATTTTTGCACAAATAATAATTAATTGGGGAATATCTTAGGAAATGGATTTACAAAAGCAAATTATACAATTAAAATAATTTATCCTTAGAATGCAACAGTGAACTATTTGTTAATATGAAATATATTTCAGATGTTTTTGTATATAGTTTTAAAAACTCAAATAAACATGCATAATAAAATTAGTTACAGTTCCTTGACACAAGAGTTTCTCTATTTCTTCAGTTTGATTAGACCAATCTGAACTTAAGTATATATAAAAGTAAAATATAATTTATGTTTTAGGGCTCTAAGAGAACTTTTGCTCATTTGTTCTTTAGCATTTATGCTATTTTTAACCTAATTGATTTGTTTTATCCACCGTGATTGCTTGCATCTTAAAAAATATCTATAGTTGATTTATAGAGAAAATTACATTGTCTACTTTCATCATAATTAACAACACTTAAACTCGAAAAAAAGTTGTTCGCAAGTATAACACTAGTTTCCATTGCACGCATTTCAATTATAAATTTGGAGTTTAATTAAAAAAAAAACTATAACTTTAAACGCGATAAAATGATTTTATTAAAATTTAAATCAAATCAGTAAAAATAATATTTCATTTATCTATTTAATTATTATTTTTTTTTAACTAAGAAATTGAAAATAAAAAACACTTCTGAGAAAACTCCAAACAAGTCAATACAATCAATGTATCAGAATACGTCATCAGGTCAATGCCCTTCACAGTCATAAAATTTTAAAATTAAATTCCAGCTTAGAAGTTCAGATTAAAACTAAATTTGAAAGATTTAATTAAAATTATTACTAAATATTGCAAATAGAATTTTGTGTTTTAATATTTGAGTTACATGATCTTATGAAAACACAAAAACAATGAAAAAAATTGTAATAAAATAGTGAAAACAATTCTATCCCTTGTTTATAAACGCTACGCAAAAGCAATTTGGCGACAGAGCAGGTTTGACTTCAAAGTTTCCGCCAAGAATGTCAAGCGGTGCCGAAACCGTGAGCATTTCCGTGAGTGCATCCAGGAGACAAGAGAACTCCTTGGGGAAATTTTGTCTTAATTGGGAGAAATTTTGCCTCCGTGAAGAACTTTTTGATGGAACTTAGCCGCATTTGCGTTACATGGAGGGGAAAACCACGAAAACTTTCCAAACTTTTCATGACGGCAAGGGAACTCTAACCCACGATCCGTCTACCAATGAGGATATTTTACGTCAGCACTGGCATTAGCCATTGCTGAGATTCGAACCCGGTTCGAAGCATTGGAAGGCGAACGCTCTATCCCCTGAGCCATCATGACTCACCATAATGAGTATAAAAAAATGGCTACTCCAAAACATTTCACCCTATCTTCTAATTAAAGTGAAAGAGTGGTTAGAAAAAAAAGACAGGAATTTTCAGCCCATTTAAGCCATTATCATATCACATCTATGCAGAACGTCCTTTTCTAAAAGAACTATTTTTTCTTCTATTTTCCCCTAACTCTGTGAAAGCCGAGGAGGGGACAATAAACGTCGCCAGAGGAATTTCTCGTCGTAATTTCCAAGTAATTTCTCCAATCTCCTCAACAATTCTTTTACGTGATGGTGGTAGGCGTGGGAGAGCAATCATTTTCCTGAAAAGACATACAAGTCCAAAAGTGTTGTCTGCAGGGATGGGACATGACCATAACGAGCAGAAGTTATGAATTTAGCGAAGATTTTCTGCTTAAGTGGGGGACATTCGTCCTTTACCGTTCCATGCTCAGACGAGATAAATATTGTTTATGGTTTATATGTCACTGATTGCAAAACGGAGCAAGTTTATGGTGGGTGGACGAATATAAACCAAATATTCTAGAATGATTTATTCGGCAACATTTTTGTTTCATTAAAGAATCAGCACCCCTTGTTAAATGCAGCGTCATACAATGACAGTTTTTCCCTTTTAATTGATCACATACTTTTTTTTATGATAAACACCTTTTTTTTGAAATGTTGACGACTCGTAATCATTTTGTTAAATAGTTTGAAGTGGAAAAAAATTCTTTCCGTAGACTCTAAATGACTCATTATATAATAATATTTTTTTAACTACCTAATTTCATTCAAATAACTATTTAATTTATAAATATAGGGC